GTCCAGGGTGTTCCTGGTAGACAGCTAGAGATAGGCAACAGCACCCCTCGCGACCCCGCTTGGCGGGAAATGGATGGATGGATGGATATATTCTGCACATTGTTTCTGCAAAAATCAAGTACAAATTTCCATTAAAACCACCCATAATAAGAGTAGGGTTCTGGGACAGCTTGTTATAGGTTTGTTTTAGGTTTCTATGTATTCTTCTCCCTTACTAGGACTTGTGACTGTTTCTACAGTGTTTGACAACACAGACAGAAGAGCAGAATCAGTTTCTGTAGATATAGTTCACTCACTATCGGAGAAGGACAAAGATGAGAAGGAAGAAGAATGTCTGCTGTTATCAGATAGCAGAGTACAAGTTTAGCGAGCAGCTCCATATATGTTAGACCTTCTAATAGAGCCGACAGTATCACACAGCAGTGAAAAAAAATTACAGGTGAAGCAGAAAAGTGTAGAGGAAAAGCGGAATGTCAAAACCCTACTTGATTTGTAATTTATCACAACCTTATGTTTTCTAACAGTTTTTCTAGGTTTACGTTATTAAACTCATAGGATTTTATTTTTTAGATATTCTTTCGTTTAGAGCAAAACTGCTGTGATGAATATAGGCAACCAGTTGCTGAAAACGATGATGGGACTACTTTGAAAAGCAGTTCAGATTTTCTGTACATTTTGACAGACATCAGGTTTTGGATAGAGTGAACGTTTGGAGATAGTTTGTAGAGTTCTGGTAACTGTGGAAATGATAGAAGACATGATCACTTATGAAGCCAGCGAGGAAGAGGAGGGAAAATGTTTGCTTTATTTCAGAGTTCTCACCAGATATTTATCTGGTTTGATTAATATAAAAGCTAATTAAACTATTTTTATGAATACATCCTTATTTGTGTATAAAATGGGTGAACCCTGTCTGTGTGGACCTATAGTTAGTTCTATGAACCCCTCCACCCTGTGCACTTAATGCTCTGTCTAAAGCAGACGTGCCCAACGTCGGTCCTCAAGGGCCACTGTCTTACAGGTTTTAGAGGTTTCCCTGCTTTAGCAAAGCTGATTCTGATGATTGCAGTTCAGCAAAAGTCTGTTAATCAGCTATCAATGAAGATCAGCTGTGCAAAAGTAAGAAAACATCTAAAACCTGTAGGACTGCGGCTCTCAAGGACCAACTTTTGGTATGCCTGGTCTAAAGAGCACTCGTTGGCAGCTGAAAACATGAGCTCCCACCAGCAGACAGAGAGCACAACCTTGGAAGACAGGGAGGCAGTGTGTATGGGAAGGTTAGGAAGGATTTAAAAATGCTAACCCGCTGATGGTCATCCAGTTATGACTCTGAAATGGAAGCATTGTTATTGTGACAGTAGCCTTGTAGCCATGACCCCCCTCCCCTCCTTGCTTCTGGTGGATCAGAGTACTGTCACACTGGGTCAGTATGGCGGTTTGCACAATGGGAGAAGATATGAAATTAAATTTAATAAAAAAAGTAAAAAAAAAAAAAAAGAAATAGAATTGAGATTAATTAAATAGGAAAAAGGGAAAGGAGGAAGAGATGGGTGCTGTAGAGATGGAAAAAACAAAAAAATATTTTTCTTCATCCCCAATTAAAAAAAATCTCTGTAAGAACCCTGCGGTACAGTAGGATAAATCTAACATTTAATACTCTTTATTTGAGTATCAAGAACCTACGTTTCACTCTTTGTTATTGCATTGTTTACAAAGGCTTGATATGCAGTGTACTGTTAAAAGGAATCTATTAAAACCCCAAACTGTTGAAAGTTTTTTTATTTCTGCATGTTGTCAGATGATGTCCATAGCAATTAAAACATTTGGATTTGCCAAGAGCTCGAAATTGCCAGCCATCATGTCTGCATGGTTCTTACCAAGGTAGACGGACCCCTGGTCTATGTTGGACAAAACTAGGAGCCATTTGACAAGAATGTCATGATTTAGACAGAAGGACAAAGTATAACACATTTTCATGGAGGAAATTCAAAGTGAAATATCTGAATCCCAAGGTAAATCAATAACCTTTATCACCGTATAGGTTTTTTCCAGAAACACCAATCACATTTTGTGAAAGGTTATTGTGTAAGAAATAGGGGGTTAAACAGGTTACATTTATTTACTTGTGAATACTAAAAAATCTACACAATAAGACAATTTAGCAGAATTTTCAACTATTAAAAGTACATCTAGGTAAGAATGTTTAGATATGTACTGAAGCTGTTGGGATTTGTTTTGAATTTTCAGTCCATTGACAATAATGATTACAACGCTTAATATCTCAATATAGGTCCAACGCTATTGAGGGACCTTAACTCACTCCTACATCCATTTTTTTTTTTTTTTACACTGTATAAACCATGTGTATGGTGTGCTATTTAGATATTACTGTGCTCTTTCATGTGAAATTTTCTTATTTATTCAATATTTGTCTCAAAAAACCTTAGGTTTCACCAAAGCTTTCGTGGTCTGTTGTGGTTTTACCATCAATACGCCTAAAATGATGAGATTTAACCAGACTCAGATTTTTTCCGAGACTGAATGCCCTTCCAGCCTATAAAGAAGCTAAATAAATCTGAAGTAGGAAATAGCGCTCAGTGAGCAGTTTCTAGGGAACTTTAGAGAGGCATTATTTTTGGCTTTGGGTTCTTTTCTTTTCAGTGCGTTATAAATGGCACTAAAAGTAAACAGCCCAAAGCCCTAAAAAAAGAGAGAGTTTGCTTTACACAGAAAGCAATGTTCCCCAACTGCTTAAAGGTTTAGAAATGTGAAATTAAAGACAAGAAGGGTTATAAATACCATACCATACCATACCAACTTTATTTATGAAGCACTTTATACACCGAACAGGACCAAAGTGCTGTACACAATCATAAAATACAATAAAATTATAAAATAGAGAAAAAAACGAGTGTAAAATACATATTAGTATACAAAAAGAATAAAACAAAGTAAAACGTCTCAAATTGTGTCAAAAGCCAAGGAAAAAAGAAGAGTCTTAAGAAGGGACTTAAAAGCAGTAAGAGAAGAGGCCTGTCTTATGCTCAGAGGCAGATCGTTCCACAGCTTAGGAGCTGCCACAGAAAAAGCACGGTCTCCTCTTAGCTTGCATTTCGTCTTTGGGACCCTCAGAAGCAACTGATCAGCTGACCTGAGGGAACGGGAGGGTGTATAAGAATGTAACAGCTCAGACAGATAAGAAGGAGCAAGGCCATTAAGAATTTTAAAAACAAATAAAAGAATTTTAAAATTAATCCTAAAATGTACTGGCAGCCAGTGTAAGGAAGCTAAAACAGGGGAAATGTGGTCGAATTTTTGTGTACCTGTTAAAAGACGTGCAGCAGCATTTTGAACCCTCTGAAGATGAGAAATATACAAGTCGCTGACCCCTGTATAAAGTGAGTTACAGTAATCCAGCCGTGTCGTCACAAATGCATGGATCACTGTTTCGAAATGCTGTCTGGAAAGAATGGGTTTTACTTTTGCTAGCTGCCTTAAGTGGAAAAAGCTGGACTTTATAACGGCTCTGATGTGCGCTTCCATTTTAAGACCAGCATCCATCTTAACCCCTAAATTTGTAATAACCGGCTTAACGTACTGATCCAAGGAGCCAAGACTGGTCACGGAATCAGCAGTGGATCTGCCAAAGATCATTACGTCCGTCTTGTCCTCATTGAGTTTTAAAAAATTTAGGGCCACCCAGGCCTTCACATCTTCAAGACATAAAAACAGAGACCGAAGAGAGGTGGAGTATATATTCTTTAGCGGTAAATATATCTGTGTGTCATCTGCATAGCAGTGAAAGGCAATCCCATGTTTTCTAAAAATAGAGCCGAGCGGAAGAAGGTAAAGTGAGAAAAGGAGCGGGCCTAGAACTGAGCCCTGTGGGACACCACACGACAGTGGAGCAGAGGGGGACCTATGGCCATCAAGACAGACACAAAAAAGTACGTTCAGCCAAATATGATCTAAACCAATCTAGAGCTATGTGACCGACGCCCACCCACTGTTCCAGACGGGAAAGTAAAATGACATGATCAACTGTGTCAAAAGCAGATGATAAATCCAACAGCACCAAAACAACAACGTCACCTGAATCAGTTGCTAAAAGTATATCATTAAAAACTTTTAAAAGGGCTGACTCTGTGCTATGAAATGGTTTAAAACCAGACTGAAAAACCTCTAATACATTATGTCCATTAAGATAGGCCATTAACTGATTACAGACTACCTTCTCAAGAATTTTTGAAATAAAAGGCAATTTAGAGATAGGTCGATAATTTGCCAGAACAGTAGGATCCAAAGCTGGTTTCTTAAGTAGAGGCTGCAGAACTGCATGCTTCAGAGCGTTAGGAACAATGCCTGAGGACAAGCTACTATTTACAAGAGCAAGGACAGAAGGACCTATAGCAGAGAAAGCTTCTTTAAATAATTGGGGCGAAATAACATCATCTGGAGAACCAGTTGGCCTTAAGTGATTAACCACCTCCTGCAATAATTGCAAGTTCACACATTCAAAGCTGTGGAAAACACCAGAACAAGGCACCACAACTGAAGGATCATAAGAAGAGGGGATAATCTGGGCCCTAATAGAAGCAACTTTCTCATCAAAAAAGTGTAAGAAGTTTTCACATGCAGCAGGTGAGGTCTCCATAAAGCCACTATGTGAATCGTTTAGAACAGAGTTAATAATTTTAAATAGGATAGCAGGATTCTGACTATTTGATACAATCAAACCCGACAGGTATTTTCTTTGGCTGCCTTTTGCAATCCTTTGATAACGGCGCCAACATTCCTTTAATGTTTGGAGAGACACCTGTAATTTGTCCTTTCTCCATTTGCGTTCTGCTCTGCGGCAGTCTCTCCTGGCAGCCCGAGTGACCTCATTTAACCAGGGTTCATGCTTGGATTTTGGAAATCTAATTTTTAGAGGTGCCACCAAATCCAAATAATAAATAAACATAATATTTAAATGTTTGTTATGTTGTCCTTGCCTGTAGGTAAAGCTTACCCTCCAGAGTTTTACTACGATACCTACAGCCCTCTGTGGCAGAATAGACCCCGAGTCTATGGCTTTAAGCTGCAGTGGACCCAGATGAATCCTGGTGCTGTGGACCGCATTGTTGCATATAGACTTGGCATCAGACAGGTAAGAAAACAAAGTTAAAAAATACATTTTCACTGTCTTACGAAATCTTTCTTGCCACTTGAAAGTTTTCTCATTTTACCATGTTAAAACCATGAATAAAGGTTTTCGTGTGGATTTTATGCTATAGACCAACACAGAGAAGCCCATAATTTGGAAGAAATACTCTATATACATTTACCTCTTGGTATAAAGTGATTCCCAACCACAGCTTCATGTCTTTTTTTATTATCCATATTTCTCTCTTTCCATTTTTTCCTCTGACTTAAAGTAAAAAATTATTCCTCTACCTTAGTCGTGGATCTGTGCAACTTTTCAAGAGTTCTCTTCTCTGACTGATGCTCTCCTTGTTTATCCTGTCAGTTTAAGTGAATGCTCATTTCTCATAGATTTGCTGTTGTTGCTTACCTGCAGTATTTCTTTATATCCCAACCACGCTTCTTTACAATGTTAACACTGTGTTCCTTCATCTTCATGAGGCTGTTGGTTCTCTAATTCTCTAACAAACCTCTGAGGCCTGAATCGAACAGCTGGACATATACTGGGATTAAATTACACACAGATGGGCTCTATTTACTTATTAGGTAACTGCGGAAGGCAACTGGCTGCTTTGATTTTATACAGATATCAAAGAACAGAGGGCTGAGTAAAATGAATGGCAAACATTGTTGATTTATGTGATTTCTCGTCCAGCTTGCAATTTTGTACTACTTTTGGTTTGTATGTTATATGAAATGACAATAAACCCATTTCAGTTGCAAGTAATAGCACAGCATGTGATATTTCTAATGAAAATTTCTCCTGAAACTGAAACTTTAAGATTTATTTATTTAAACGCTAAGTCGATATTCTCTTAGAACCTCAGAGATCATTTTCTTTTATTTTTTTTTTGCAGTTAAACAAAAAGAGATATGAGTCTGAACACCAGTTTTTTCCACCTTTATGGGCAAGAGGGTCTATAATCAAATGCATTACCCAGCTTATTTTCAGATCTTTCATTGAATTGGGCTAATCTCTCCAATATGGTCCCAGAAACTTTTTCCCTTGTCAGCTTAACATGAAAAAGGCATCTCTAAGTGTTTACTTATAGTTATCTGTTAACAGACCTAAACATATAGTTCTAATCTTCAGTTGTCTATCTCGTTATACTTAATGGAGGCTGTTAACATGCTAGAAAGCGTATACTGCCAGTTTTCTCGAAATGCTTCTGTTTGTGCTTCCCATCAGAGAGGTGGAAGTGGAGCCCTGCGGTGAGAATTAGCACGCACTCCTCTTGTTTTCCCTTCTTCTCCTGCAAACTCCACAGATGACAGGCAGGCAGAATTGATGGATGGGAAGGATGTATTTTCTCTCTAGGCAATCAATGTTTACCTTCCTCACTTGTTTCCTTTGTCTCTCTTCCTTTTTTCTCTAATGTCAAAGTAGAGAACATTTATCCAAAATACACCTGTGTTTCTTTAGGAACTGCTGCAAACAGGACATTGCCCATAGAGTCACAGGTCAATGTCGACTTCAATTTTGGAATTACACGACTAAAGAAAAGCCAAACATTCAAAGCAACATTGCAAGCTCCAATTTTAATTTATCCCATTTCTGCTCTGAATTAGCTAACACGCCCTTGGATGTGCTAGTAATGAATAATAAAAATCTTGTTCACTCCACACCCTTGAAACTGTGGGCTTCAAAACACTTTCTAAGATAAAGTCTGTGTAGCACAAAGCATTTATGTGCTTCTGTTAGCATTACTGTTATGGCCATTTTATGTAAAAACCTTTATAAATCCCCAATTATTGAACAATTCAGATTTTCAGCATTTTCCATGTGTATTTTTTAGGCTGTTAAAGGAATAGTACACCCAAAACATGATTAGCCTTCATTTTCTACTCACCTCCATGCTGAACAACACTCTGGAGTACTTTTTTGATATCTCAAATGCATCTGGAGATCTGGGAGGCTTCTTGCTGTCTGCTGACATTCAAATAATGGAGGTCCATGGCGCCCGAGACAGAAAGGTCCATAAAAGTCCACAAAAACGTGTCAATATTCCTCCATACTGCTCGTCCAATGTAATCCAAGTGTCCTGAGTGGGTAGCATCCAGAATTTACTCGAAACGAAGTCATTTAGAATGTTTTTAGAGCATAAACAGTAGTGTATAGGATTTCCTAATAGCGCCCCCATGCTCGCTCACGATTCTACGGAAGCCGGCAGACCAAACCGGAAGAAAGTGCGCATTCAGCGTCTGGTCTGCCGATAATGCAAGCGTAGAAGAAGAAATGTGCTGTTTACCTGTGCAAAGAAAGAAACAACGAAAGAAAAATGTCTGAGGACTTCAGTGTTGAGGAAGAGCATGAGTTCTTTGCCGAGCTGAATGCGCTGGTTTGGTCTGCCGGCTTCCGTAGAATCATGAGCGCGCATGGGGGCGCTATTAGGAAATCCTATACACTACTGTTTAGGCTCTAAAAACATTCTAAATGACTTCGTTTCGAGTAAATTCTGGATGCTACCCACTCAGGACACTTGGATTACATTGGACGAGCAGTATGGAGGAATATTGACACGTTTTTGTGGACTTTTGTGGACCTTTCTGTCTCGGGCGCCATAGACCTCCATTATTTGAATGTCAGCAGACAGCAAGAAGCCTCCCAGATCTCCAGATGCATTTGAGATATCAAAAAAGTACTCCAGAGTTTTGTTCAGCATGGGGGTGAGTAGAAAATGAAGGCTAATCATGTTTTGGGTGTACTATTCCTTTAATCTCTGCGAAAATACTAATCTTTGCATTGACTTACTAATATTACTAACAAGAAAACATGCATGGTGTCTCTGCTAAAGAAATATTAAAGTAAACGAACCTATTTTCTGTTTTTGTTTTTTGAGATAGGCTCGATGGTTATTTGGTAAACATTTGAGTTATAACAGCCTGTCTTTTTCTAAATATCTACGTATATATAAAATATTTTTTTTAGGTTATTTTTTTATTTCAGTGAATTATATTATTACAGTGTTTAGAGCAGCTTTAAGTTGATAAATTGAATTTTCTTTTACTTCATTAAAAAAAAAAAAAGTTAGAGCCAAAACGCGACAAAAGTTTCATGCCAATATGCAAGACAAAAAGCATGGTATGAAACAGAAGCATGTGGGAGTAAAGGTTCCTTCTGTAAATACAAGAGAAAAAAGGAGATACATGTAGACTGGTTGTGACTGGTTCAGTGAAGAAAGCCCACATGCACACTACAACACTTAAATCTATTTATGGATCCTGTAGCAGCTCCCTGCCATTCCCTTAGAATTATGATCATTTTCCCCCACTGCCTCTGAATTAATACCTGCTACTGGTGAACCGTATGCCTTTATAAGTTATTGCTTCGTGTTATCACCCGGTGCCCTCGTCAGAAACAGTCTGACTGGAGGGGAAATGGGAATAAAGTTGTAGCTGAAAGGCATGCAGCATCCAGATACACAAAGCATAAATCACCGCATCTGTCAAAGATGCAGCAGAAAAGTGTGACATCTGCCCTTGTTTTGATATTGGAGCCGGGCTGCAAATCTTCTCCTCTGGTTTCTGGAGCCTTATTTTCTTCCTGCAATATATACCAAATGCTAGATTATGCTCAGTGGCCTGATTCAGATTTGTGTTATTTATTATATCTGCTTGATTCAAAAAGTTATTTCACAATTCAGTGGTATTTATTTTAAACTGTAATTTTATTTATTTTTATTTTTTTGGTAATGTTTCCAGTTAAACTACCCCAAGACCTTAGGTTTTGTATAAGTTATGAGACCATTTTACTGTAGTAACCGCAAAGAGAGAATTAAAGAAATATCGCTTCAGGCATTCTTTGGGTTTTAAAAACAGATTTTGTTTGTAACTAAATCTTTTCTTGCTGCCAGTGGAATATTGATGTTTCCCATACTAATAAAAACAAATCTGTTATTCAAATATGAGGCACTAAAGTTGTAAGATGGAGGATTCACAATAATGTGATGAAATTAATGAAATTTTTTTAACAATTGTAAGATAAACTCTTTTTTTTCAGAATAATTTGTCCAATAAATTATTTGTAATTACCTATAATTGCTCCCAGGTTAAATGTCTGGAAAAAAATATATATATATACCGTATTTTCACGACTATAAGGCACACTTAAACGTCTTTTTTTCCCCTCAAAATGTGCGGTGCGCCCTTTGGTGCGGTGCGCCCTATGTGTGTTGTAACTGCGACTTTTGAGACCACCTCATTGAGGAGATGATGAAAGAGTGGCTGAATGTAAGGAGACCAGGTGTTTTTTTTCCACTCATCACCATCGCTGTTAATATGTAACTCCATGCGTGCCCATCTCACAGCTGATGTGAAAAACATGGGGAAACAAATTAACGCTGTGCTCGCTGTTATTCTACCGCTCGACATCGGTGTGAACCGGACCCAGCAGGTGCAGCAGAAGCAGCGAGTTTACATGCAAAGTCAATGGTTGACGCGCGTATAGGCGCAGCAAAAGGTCCCGCAGCGCGTTTTGAGCAGCAGGAGCGTTTAAGCATCTGCCAACGCGCTGCTGCTGCTCGAGATGGAAAAATTGAAGTTTTGCTGCTGGACGCGCCGCATCAACGAATCAGAGAAGCTGATCTGGGAGCTGACAGCGAGACAGACACAGCGCTCTGATGACATATGATATTAACGCAAATGAAACGGGCTGGATGGATGAGGAGATGATGAAAGCGTGGCTGAGGCAGGTGTATGTGAGGAGAACAGGTGTTTTTTTCCACGCATCACCATCGCTGGCTGTGACTCCATGCGTGCCCATCTCACAGCTGATGAGAAAAACATGGTGAATCAAATGGATGCTGTGCTCGCCGTTATCTCGGGGGTCTGACAAAGGAACTTCAACCGCTCGACATCGGTGTGAAGCGGCCGTTCAAAGTAAGGCTGCGAGCGGCGTGGGAGCGATGGATGACAGACGGAGACCACAGTTTCAGGATAAGTGGAAGGCAGCGCCGGGCAAGTTAC